TAGAACAGAATTCAATATAACGTGCTCAGTAATTTATCCCAAGCACCTACAGCAGTGCTTAGCGCTCAGTAAATATTTATTGAATGACTTAGAACGCCTAAACCTCACTGAGTGTTCCCCCTGTGCCAGCCACCACACTCAACATCTTACATGATTATCTCTTTTCGACTTCACAACATGAGGGACAGTCATTTTCCTCATTTTACAGAAATAGATATGTAGAAAATGACATGAATCTACAGCTCATAGCTGAGGTTAGGACACAAAAGTGTCCACAAGGCAGATTTCTTTGGTAACACATTTTGAAAGGATATTGGGGTAGGAGATGGAACAAGCTTTCAAGTTCTCTGCACTCTCTGCTGTTTAGTGGTCTCTATTTTTAGCATTGGTATCTTCTGTCTGAATTATAACTGTTTTGAATGTTAGCATGGTCTTCACTAACTCTAGTAGTTTCAAGAGGTTATAAGCTGGGTGACACACTGGGGGTGGTTGATCAATGTGACATAGGGGTAGGTGAGGGGCATGGTTTAAAGTTAGGGTGCCCAGGGAAAGTCACTCAAGCCTCAGTGTTTGTATCCCCAAACTGCTGTCTCTGAGACTCCTTTGCAAATATCTATGTCTGATTTTACATGGTGGGTTAAAGTGTCTGTAAGTTTCCAGGATTGGCATTCATGGACACTCCTTGGGTTTTCTTTGTTAGAATTTGTGTCCTTCCATCTACTGTACCCTGCTCTAAATCTTGGTTATTTTGGTGCTCAATAGCTTCTCTACAAGAACGCTAAATCAAAGGAAGCACAACGCAAAACTCCATATTGATGTTTCAAGGAAAACCCAGTGGTGTATGATCAAGGGGAGTTGCTGACCGTAACTGGCATGACGTGCCCGCGGAAAGGGTGGGGACTTGGGTATGACGAGGGTTCAAATAACTACTCTGCTCCTTCCTAGTGTAATGAAGAAAAGTCATTTAAGCTCCTTGGTTTCCAATTTTCTCATTTACGAAATGAGGATAAAAATTTCTACTGTTCAGAGCTGTTCTAAAGACTCGGTGGTATAGAGAATGCAATGCTGAATTATGTCATATAGGCTGAATTTTAATCTGTTTAGAATAAATGTCTACTGTTACCATGGAAGGCTCAGGAACAGCTCTAAATCTTCCCATAACCTGAGAAAACTGCTGTGCTGTGTTCTCTGGTTTTTGTAAGCTATTCATTCTTGTAAGTCATTCATTCTACTTACAAGAATAAGAAAACATTCTTTTTAAATTATTTTCATCTTAATGTATGATCCAGCTTACTTGCAAGAATGGAAGGTGCCTGCTTTCCATAATCCCACCTTTTCTGTAAACATCTGCCTTATTTCATCCTAAGTCCTTATAACATTGGCATTAGGAAAGAGGTCCTCAGGTCATACACTAGACTCTGTTATTCATTTTTAGACTTTCTAGAGCAATGGTTCTGACCTTTGGTGAGTCACAGAGCTCCCTGAAAATCCGATGAAAGCTACAGTCCCTCTCTACAGAAAAGTTCTCATCTGTGCATAATTTTGCATATAATTTCAGATCATCCAAGACTCTACTGAAACCATTCATGGACAGAGGTTAAGAACCCTTGCCTAATAGTTGCAAAGTGGTCATGAGTAACACTGCTCCTTTAATCCTGATGATATTTTGTTGATTAGCATGAAACAGTAGTAATCTTGTCATTTTAAGAGTTTTTGTTTTCCTAAATTATTTTCTTTATTTTTCCCACTGTGACCAAGAACAAAGGCATTTAGAGTAAGCCGTCCAGAATTTACTTTATAACCCGTGGCTCAGAATACAATTGGTAACTGATCTGTACTGCAAGCGCACTGACACTAAACTAGTCATTGTTCCTAAGACTCACTAAGGTCAGCCAAGCCCTGGGCACATGTAACTCTCCATAGTTTCCACTTTAACCCTGGACATCTAACTACAAAGCAGAGCTAAAAATAGACCAAGCGGAGCACTTACACTCCACAGAGGTGCATTTCCAACCCCAGGGGTTTTAATCAACAACACTGTGCACAATCCAAAGAGAATGCTTTCATTTAGCAGGAAAAAGTTGCTTCATTTTGAGCAAGCTAAAATATAACCTAAAGGAATTATGAAGACTTTGAAGTGTTCAAAAAATATTATCTGCACCTGTGTTCTAGGTCTAAAAAAAGAAAGACTAAAATACCTTCAGGATTGAGTTGGCTTTCTTTGTCTTTCACATTGAATTATTCAAAGGAAAACATATTGGCATTTTTTCCCCTCTTGTTTCTAGGTCAGCATGTTTCTACCAAAAAGTTTAAGTTGTTCAAACATAGCAAGCCATAATAAATACCTACCTACAAAAATACATACATAGTAGGAAGGAAAAAGTAATGAGTTTGAACATAGAAAAATAATTACAGTTCCATTCCCTAGAGAAAGTTTATTGTCTAAGGCTCTTTATGGCCAAAATGGCTAAGTCTCCTGAGGATTATATAGAGCAAATGTTTTCATAATAAAATTTGCTCAAAGGTTTAATTACTAATGATATATCAGATTATGAATAAATATAAATATTGCATATGTGGCTAAAAGAAGGATTTGTATAAAATTAAAATAATTTTAATATAAAATTTTGCAATAGAGTTGAGAAAATAAAGATCCTTTAAAAATACAAATTCAAAAAACTCTGGATTCTACAGCACTGGGGAAATGAAATAAGAACACAAGTAGTTACCTTGACAACTGCCTTATAATGAAAATGCCCATCTTCTATAAACCTAGCACAAACAGTCCAGGAAAATGGATATTTAAAATGTAATCTTTCTCTATTACACGTATTTTCCTAAATGAGGTTCTTAAGCATATCTGCAGAACGTTTTTCAGGGAAACAAATTGAGGCTGTCATATACATTTGGTATTAATTCCTCCCAGCTTTTCTTTGGAAGGCAGTTCGTTTGAAGCAAGTGCTAGAAGAAATGAATTCACCTTGGTGACAGTATTTCCATATCTGCAGCCAATGTATGATCCTTATGAATATCCCACGGCAGAATATGACCTATGAACTTGAGATTGCGAAGTGATCCTGTTCCATTTTAAATGGAATTTCAGAGTGTTGCCATCATACATTCCAGGTAAACCCCAGCAGAATCTGGCTCTGTTACTGAACCCAGCAGAAGCTCCCAGGAGGCCACCATCACTGATAAAATAATAGCTGTAGATCAGACGCTGCTCAAATCCAAGAGGGATTTAGGAATTTCTGCCTCTGGAAGCATGCGTCACTTCTAGTTAAACTGACCACTCTATTACTTTCTCAATACCTTTTCAGATTCCCAGAGAAAACAGCTTTTCTAGTTGCCCTACCGGATATTTTGTGGACTTAAGTTTTGTAAGACTGAAAACTATGTTACGTTTATAGCAAAAAATGCAACCTATGCCAGATACTTTGGAGAAGAGGATTAGAGGCAGAAGGTGGTTATTGACCACATAGCCCAGAAATGTCTATGTTTTGAAGATCAGCAATTTTTTTTCTGTGGAACATAGATTTTAAATAAAAGTCACATGTATCTTGCAAGTGTTTTTTTAATCTCCATGAATAGGGGATCATTCTGAATATAAAGAAAATAAAACTTGCCTTGGACTGAGAAAGTAAATATCTGCCCATCACTCATCAGGCTGAAATAGCAGCCACAGATAAGCCAACTGCAAAGTGAACAGGAAATGACATTTCTCCAGGGACATTGCTGTTGTAAAGTGTCACGGTAACCCCCTTCTTCGAGTGACTATAGACTCACTGAGAAACTCTTCTCTAATATCAAAGACAATCAGTGAGCTTGCTGTTTAAAATTCTATCAGTAAGAGTAAAACATCTCACTCTTGCCTGCAGGATCTTAGTTGCTTCACTGAAGCAGAGAAGCAGCCTCAATTCCCACTTCTGGTGAGAAGTCCCAGATAAGGGGTTTGGGGATGCAACAGTCCACATTTATCTTAACTTTATTGTTTCCAAAGAAACAGCACCCTGGGTTCACTTTGCAGACCAGACCTGCATCTAAGCTCCACTCTTCCTAGAATCCTAAAATAGCCCTTTTCCCTCTAGTGTTTAGTCTCCTTCATTGCATTGGGTCAATAAACCTAATTTTGTCAGAATACAGGTTGGTTCCTATTATTCTTTGACTGAAATAGGGCCATATTTTTATCAAATGGTCGAGCTAAAGAAACTATTTGTTGCATAAATAGTAGTTCTGAATTTAAGTATTTGCTATTAGATATTGAAAAAATATTTAATAGAATACATCTTTGCAGTAGTTCAGTCTCCTGTGACCTGTGAATTTTAAATTCTATATATCAGCTTCTCATCTAGGCAGAAACATTCTGAGTGCGAGGAAACCCGCTGTGAGTACTGAAATGATCTTTTCTAGCCCTGCTGCTGCTAAAGTAACCTGTGGCAAAATTTCCCTGCTCTTAGAAATAGCAAATTGGCAACACAAGCAAGGCTCGCCCGTGAGAACACCAAGCTCTTTGTGAAGCTAAAAGAGACAATAAAGGGAAATAGGTAGGCACAGGTCCCAGGTCTCCCAACCAAGGTCTGTCTGCACACTTGGTTGAAATGCTGGGCTGCTGTATTTAAGAAGTAACTGGGAGAGGCTGGGCACGGTGGCTCACGCCTGCAAACCTAGCACTTTGAGAGGCCCAGGCGGGTGGAACACCTGAGGTCAGGGGTTTGAAACCAGCCTGGCCAACATAGCGAAACCCCGTCTCCACTAAAATTACAAAATTAGCCGGGCGTGGTGGTGCATGCCTGTAATCCCAGCTACTCAGGAGGCTGAGGCAGGAGAATCGATTGAACCCAGGAGGCAGCAGAGGTTGCAGTGAACTCCAGCCTGGGCAACAAGAGCGAAACTCTGCCTCAGAAAACCAAGACCAAACCAATACAAAACAAGAAGTAACTGGGAGCGTTACTCAGAGCACACGCCTCTTCCCTGAGGTGGGAAGAGTGCTTCCGACATACCCATGGGAGGAGCCATAATCATAGGCTGAGGCCGCCTTCCGACTGACGTCAGAGCTCAGGGCGTACTGTGAGGCCTGCTGCTGGAAGGAGGCGGCGGACGCCTGACGGAAGGCCTCGGCTTCCTGGCGGTGCGCGGCGGAGGAGCGGCTGCTGTAGGCCGTGGAGCCCTGGGTGTAGATGGCCGAGCGCTTCTTCTCCTGCTGGTAGTGGCTCACGGTGGTGCGGAGGTCCTTGTTGCGGTAGCTGAAATCATAGTGCTGGTGGGACCTCTGATAAAAAGGCAAAGACATCCTGTGCCCCTTGAAGGAACCGGGCCACCTGAAGGAAAACAACACTTTTTGAGTGAATTATTAAGGAACAAATTCCATGGAACAAGTCATCTAAATCAATGTGTAAAAATCAATACTCTTGGCTGGGTGCCGTGGTTCATGCTTGAAATCCCAACCAGGATCTCTTGAGGCTGGGAACGCAAAGTCAACCTGGCCAACACAGTGAGACCCTATCTCTACAAAAAGAAAAAAGAAAAATTTAGCCGGGTGAGGTGTGTGTGTCCGTAGTCCCAGCTACTCTGGAGGCTGAGGCAGGAGGATTGCTTGAGCCCAAGACTTCGAGGCCGCAGTGAGCTGTGACTGACCCCTTGCACTCAGCTTGGGTGACAGAGCAAGACCTTGTCTAAAAAAATAAAATAAAAATTAATATTCTTATCTTTTCCAAAGAGTAAACCAAAAAGGGTATGAAGTTTAGCATAACTGGATATTCAAAAAACTCTCCACTTCATAGCCCAGATGGGCTTGTCCTGTCATTGTACCTTTTTTAAAAAAATTATATCTAGGAGGTTTTCCTAGAAAAACAAAGTTTTTCTAACCTGGCTATTGTGCTTTTTCCTCAGACTCTCCATAATACATATTTCTAATTTTCTGCCATTTCATTCTTCATTTGGGACTTCATCTGGGAGAATGTGGAAGGATAGAGTCATGTGGTGTTCATTCAACAAATAATTAGCAGCACCTACTGTGTGCCTGGCACCATCCAGCCCATCAAATCCAGTAGTGAGGCCGGGCGTGGTGGCTCATGCCTGTAATCCCAGCACTTTGGGAGGCCGAGGCAGGCGGATCACTTGAGGTCAGGAGTTGAAGACCAGCCTGGCCAACATGGCGAAACCCCATCTCTACCAAAAATACAAAAATTAGCCTGGCATGGTGGTGGGCACCTGTAGTCCCAGCTACTCCTCGGTGGCTGAGGCAGGAGAATCACTTGAACTCAGAGGCAGAGTTTGGAGTGAGCCGAGGTTGCGCCACTGCACTCCATACTGGACAACAGAGCAAGACTCTGCCTCAAAACAAAACAAAACAATACAGTGGTAAACAAAACAGACAAAATGCCTGCTGTAATCACCTTGTTCAGAACCATACAGTCTACTGCAGGAGAAAGACAATAGAGAAAACAAGTCAAGTATGACATAGGTTAATATGCCAAGAACCAGAGAAAAACAAAGCAGGTAAGAGGGATGGATGCAATTTTCAACAGCCTCAGCAGGGATAGCTTCCCTAGAAAGTACATCTGAGCATGAGACTTTCTGGGGAAGAGTATTCCAGTAGGAAGACCACAGCAAAGGCACTGAGGAATGAACATGACTGTTGTGCTCCAGGAACCGCTGACTGGCAGGGGTTCTGGGGTGGGAGAGGTATAGGAGATGATGTCAGAGAGGTGAGCTGTGAGCATGGGGGACGGGCTGGTAGTGTAGGGTCATGTAGGTAGCAGTAAGGACTTCAGTTAATACTGTGAAAGGGCTGAGAAGCCATTGGAAGACTCTGAGCTGAGACTCATTCTTGCCGATGTCTGAAGATGGACTGTGGAGGGAAGAGAGTGAAAGCCAGGAGACCTATGAAAGGGCTGAGTTGTATCCTCTCAAAATTCCTAGGTTGAAGCCCTAACCTCCAGTACCTCAAAATGTGACCATATTTGGAGATACGGTCCTTAAAGAGGAAGTTAAGTTAAAATTAGGCCATTAGGATGGGCCCTAATTCTGTATGATGGTGTCTCCATAGGAAAAGAAAACCAAGACCCAAATATGTATATAACAGAGGGAAGGCCATGTGGAGACACAGGGAGAAGACAGCCATCCATGAGCCAAGAATAGACCTGAGAAGAAACCAACCCAGCTGACACCTTCATCTTGGACTTCAGCCTCCAGAGTTGTAAGGTAATAAATTTCTGTTGTTTAAGCCACCCAGTCCATGGCACTTTGCTGACAAAAGAATACAAAGTCCGCTGCAGTTGTCCAGGCTAGAGGTGACAGGGGTAGCAGTGAAAGTGTGAGAGGTGGTCAAGCTCTGCACAGGTTTTGAAGTTAGAACCAATGGCATTTGCTGAAAGTTGTGAATTAGGATGTGAAACAAAGAGATGACTCCAAGGTTTTTGCCTGAGCAATTGAAAGACAAGTTGCTATTAACTGAGAGGGGGAGGAATGTGGGAAAGTATCAATTTGGGGTGGAAAAACAGGAGATTGATTTTAATGCTCTACATCTGAGACGCCTGTTAGACCTCCCAGAGGAGACATTTTAAGTGGGAAGTTGGATATGTGACTCTGGAGTGCAGGGGAGAAGTCCAGGATGCAGATTTACATTTGGGAGTCAACAGCATATAGGTGGTATCGAAAGCCAAGAAAACAGATGAGCACCATTATACACGGAAAAGAAAGTCCTAAAAGAAAACAGGTGAGAACCATTATACACGGAAAAGAAAGTCCTAAAAGAAAACAGGTGAGAACCATTATACACGGAAAAGAAAGTCCTAAAAGAAAACAGGTGAGAACCATTATACACGGAAAAGAAAACAGGTGAGAACCATTATACACGGAAAAGAAAATTACAGGCATGGTGGCTCACGCCTGTAATCCAGCACTTTGAGAGGCCAAGGCAGGAGGATTTCCTGAGCCCAGAAGTTTGAGACCAGCCTGGGCAACATGGTGAGACCTTGTCTCTATTATAAAAATCTAAGATAAAATAAAATAAAGTCCTAGAACTGAACCCTGGAGTATGCTAATCTTATATATAAGCTCTCTCAAATCTCACAAACACTTCAAGCAAAGGTATAGTCTCAAAGCAGGAAAAAAAAAGACTGTTTGCTCCATAAGGAACATACAGGCTTCTAGTCTCCCTACATAAAGAGGTAAGAGAGTCGATTCCCAGGGTGGCAGCTGGCATTGTGAACCTGAGCTAACAGTTCTCCTGAAAGTCAAAGGTATGTTTGTTTAGCATAGGGTGGAGAGACATCACATTGCCTTAGCATTCTTGAATAGTCTATCCACTGAAGCAGGCCTATCAGCCATGTTGACAACCCTGGATGAAGTAATAGTTTTATAAAAGCTCCACCCCCAAGTGTTTTAATGCTGTAGAATTAGTTTTAAAGTGATCTGTTTTCTCCAAATGTCGTTTTTAAAAAAATTCAAAATGAAGAATGAATCCTTCTAAACTCAGCATATTCTTTGTCAAGTTTAAAACTACTTTTTATTTAAACTATTTTAAAAGTCAGCATGTATTCCCTAGAGAAGAAAATCGAGCAAACTTCACTCCAGAAATATTTATCTTAGGGCTCATGGAAGATATCAATCTACATGGCATTTCCTAAGAGAAAAAAATAGCTACTAGCAAGCAACTTTGCTTCAACCCTTAAATAGATGGCTATTTTCTGTTACAAAATATAGAGGATAATTACCATGTATAACTAATAACTACTAGACGAAAGGGGTTAGAAAATGTTAATACAGAATTATATTAGGCAGTTATAAAGATATTAGAGAAGTTTCTGTTATGATACTACATTGTAACATGGCACATGTTATTTTAATGATTTTCAAATAAATAATAAAGAACCTTGTTATGTTATAAACTAAATTCACTCCCCAGATGATTTGAAATGCTGTTATTTTCACAAAATAAAATCTTTAAATATCTTGCCCCAATACTATTTTTTACTCTGTTTCATTTCTCCCAAATACATTTATTTTTAATAATACTTAATATTCCTCTCACATAGATAGTAGGTTACGAGTAAACGGGGTTTGACTTGAAGTCCTCCCTGCTGTTGTCACAGCCCTGACCTCTGGAACAAAGGTACAACCACCTCCTCTTCATCAAGTAAGCCCTTGAAGTTAACTAAAGCCAGGATTAGCCCCAACACATGACAACTGGAGAAGGTTGGGAGGAAAGATGGTTTTAGTGTCTTTTGTTTCTTTAAGACCTAAATTTTCTTTCTGAAAATAATTTGAGAATTTAGGAAGAAATACAAATTCCGTAGCTGTAATTTATGATACCTTTGTGCAGTCATTAAAGGGCAAAAGCTGATGAAAACGATTCCCAGAAAAATCGCTATGTGGGGCTCTATGTTGCCTCTGAAATGTTACTTAACCGTTTTGAGGCCATATCATTGTGCACGCTCACATTTACCCACATTGCATTGTCACAGCAAGATCCCTGAATTATAAACTAGTGACTTCAGAGTTAATTTTTCTTCTTTTGGTCTAATTTGTAACCAGGGAGCATTGTATGGCACACACAGGACTGAAAACACGGGGCCTCCTGTCTCTCACCCATTTCAGATTTCAACCAAACCGTACTTGGAAGGAGCACTAAACACACGCTTGCAGTTCAATCCGAGGCAAATATGACCTCCTTACAGTTCCAGGAACAGCAGCTTAATTTCAAAAGAATACAGTGATGTGAGAGAAGAGCTGTGCCAGCCCAACTGGCACCCGGCTGTTCTGGTTTCCCTCCCTGGAGCTTCACTTTCCTATTTCTCTGTTATTCTGACATCTCTTTGAGAAAACTGCTGAGTTCAGAAGACAGAAAGAAAGCACTTACACTGCAGTGCTGCTAAGCTCATAAGCTATCAAGTGCATTCTTCTGCTTCAGTGTCACACTTACCAGTTTCCAAAGGAGTGATGGTGGTGGAAATGTTCCGATGAGGCCGAGGAGCTGGATGAGAGAATGAAAACTCCGCCTAGGTTGAATCCAAGAAAATGTTAAGAGGCAGGGCTAAAGACAGGACCCTGGAGGCCAGTTCAAAAATAATGCATGTGGTCAGGCAGTGGAATGTCAGGCCACACAACCAGCCTTTTATGGCCAAGAAAGCAGTTAAATATAGCAGCAGATGGGGAGGGTAGTCCCAAACCAGGAGGAGGAGAGGGGCACGGGCAGGTAGCTGCCTCAGTAATATAACTGCATAATGCCGGTCAATGGGTCTGGCCCAATTAAACGAAATATAGGATTTTTATTTGGCAACAGGAGCTATTTTCAACGTCGCTTTATCATTAGATAATGTAAAAGTGTAATGGAAAGAGAGGTTTGTGTTCACAGCTAAAAATAGGTGTAGTAATATGAGTCTCAAAATGGACTTCATGGAATTTTAATGCCAAGATATGGTTCTGGGCATGCCGTTAATAACACACGTACAGTACATTTAAAAGACACAAAGTGAAAAAAGAACTTGAAGCTAACTAAAGGCAAAACAAGGAAGAAATGGGTTACACGTGGTGGCAATTTTTACCTGACATCACAGTCACTATTTCTCTCATTTCAGGAAAATTTACAAGGTGAGGTCCTAGCTTCAAGCCTGACTATATATATATATATTTTTTTTTTTTTGGTGGGGGGGTGGGATGGAGCCTCGCCCTGTCACCCAGGCTGGAGTGCAGTGGCGCGATCTCGGCTCACTGCAAGCTCTGCCTCCCAGGTTCACGCCACTCTCCTGCCTCAGCCTCCCGAGTAGCTGGGACTACAGGTGCCTGCCACCACGCCTGGCTAATTTTTTGTATTTTTAGTAGAGACGGGATTTCACCGTGTTAGCCAGGATGGTCTCAATCTCCTGACCTCGTGATCCGCCTGCCTCAGCCTCCCAAAGTGCTGGGATTACAGGCGTGAGCCACTGCGCCTGGCCAGGCCTGAATATTTGATTCCCTGTTCATTAACTAAAGCCTTTTGAGATGCAACTCAGTGTTTCATCCTTCCTAACTCAGAGTAAGGTCAGTCCATCTAATAAGAGATTCCCTTTCTTCGTTCTTTAAATGGTGTGACCAATGAAGAGGAGGTATAACCCGGTAGTGAGAGCCTGTGTTGTGGATTCAGACCAGATCTAGATCCCACTATACTGATAGCACTTAGTAGCCATGTAATCTCTAGCAATTTATTTCTCCTTCCTAAGCTTCAGGGTTTTTGTCTATAAAATGGGGATAATATCCAAATTATAGGATTGCTGTCGTGATTAAATGTGATACTGCAGACACAGCACTTGACCTAGTGACAGTTACATAATATAGACTCAGTAAATATCAGCTATTATTACTGACACCAATAATATAAAAACTCATTGTTAGATTATATGTATGCAGTAGGTTGGTATTTTGATCTATTGGCCTTATGTTCTGACAGTGATGTTACATCAACTGAATAAAGGTTACTTGTGTCTATCAAAATTGTTTTTCTTTTTGATACAGGGTCTCACTCTGTTGCCCAAGCTGGAGTGCAGTGGTGCAGTCTTGGCTCACTGCAACCTCTACCTCTCAGGCTCAAGCAATTCTCCCACCTCAGCCTCCCGAGTAGCTACAGGTGCGTGCCACCACACCCGGCTAATTTTTTTTTTTTTTTTTAACTTTTGGTAGAAATGGAGTTTCACCATGTTGCCCAGGCTGGTCTCAAACTCCTGGATTCAAGTAATCCACCTGCCTCAGTCTCCCAAAGTGCTGGAAATACAGGCGTGAGCTACTGCACCCAGCCTCTTTCAAGATATTGAACAGACTCAATATTATAGTATACTTCATCATGACTTTCTTGATGATCACTACAGTTAACACCGTTGAGGACCTATCCAGTGCCAGACATTGGGATAGGCAGTTTACATACATGATCTCACTGACTTCTTATCATACCTTGCAAAGTACAGCTCCATTACCTTGTTGAGGAAAGCAAGGCTTCTAGAAGGGAAGGCATTTGCCAAAGATCACACAGCTGGTAGATGACAAAAACGCAACTTCATTCAGAGATATTTGATTCCAAACCCTGTGTACTTGTAGTCATGTATTGCTATCTCCTCCAATGTACTTTGCTGGTAAGAAACTAGATATTTTGAAATGGCCTTTCAAGTGCAATATGGTTCTTCACTTGTAATAGAGGGTTAGCTTCTGAGCTACTCAAAGTATGTAAAAGAATCTATTCCACCTAGTTCTGATCCAGTTACTTGTGAAATTCAGCCTGGAATTTCTTCATATACATACATCTGCTATTAGTGAGCATGTGGACATTTTAGCTATCTGGAAGCCATAGGCGAGTTTTCCAAGTGTTATGTTCCCCAAGCATCCATTTGTTCTTTAAACATCCAATACAGAATGCAGTGATTCTTCTCAAGTCTTATCCACCAGCCATTAGAATGATTCCTGGTGAGCCGTTTCTCTAGAGAATATTGGTAAATTGCCCCAAATCTTCTCAAAGCAGAAAAGAGGAAAAATAAACAATAGGAGATATAAGTCCTCCTAATAATAGCTAATATTTAATGACTATTTGCTATATGCCAGGAAGTAACACTGTTTTACAAGATCTTATTTGATTATCATATACATGAGTATCATGAAAACATTTTATGGATTAAGAAACTGAGATTTACAGCCAGACATGGTGGCTTACACCTGTAATCCCAGCACTTTGGGAGGTCAAGGCAGGCAGATTGCTTGAACTCAGGAGTTCGAGACCATCCTGGGCAACATGGTGAAACCCCATCTCTACAAAAAGTACAAACATTAGCCAGGTGTTGTGGCATGTGCCTGTAGTCCCACCTACTCAGGAGGCTGAGGTGGGAGAATTGCTTGAGCCTGGGGAGGTCGAGGTTGCAGTGAGCCAAGATCATACCACTGCACTCCAGCCTAAGCAACAGAGCGAGAGACCCTGTCTCAAAAAGAAACAAACCAAAAAAAATTGAGATTTAGAGAGATCAGTATCCTTAAAGTCACACAACCAGAATGTGACAGAGGATGGAATCCAGGACTGTTCCACACAGAGCACAGCCTCCTATATATCACACTGTGCTGCCTCTCAACCATTTAACTGTGTATGTATGCCTGTTTGTGTGTATGTGTGTGTGTGCACAAACACACAGTTATGTTGATAGTACCATGTGCCAGTACTGTCCATTAGAAGGAAGAACTGTTACAGAAGAAGAGTTTCATTTATGTTTCTTATGTAACAGACAATAATTTATTAGGTCAGAATGTACTGGCTACAAGTGTCAATACATTTAAATATTTACTGAACTTTCATCCTTGTTAAAAATACAAAAATGGGAAAAGTCCACACACACTATGGAAAAACTAAAATATTATTGATTCATTGATACTCAGGATCCCTGTGAAAGCCAGAGTTTATTCCAAACAAATATAAAATAAGTTTAGACAAAAGAAGCATGAGCTAGACCCAGGAGAATCTCCTAAGTGATCTTTCTGCTGTGGTATCATCTAGATTCAGGTTTTTCTAACAGCAAATTTATCTGAATTACAACTAGCTACATAATAAATTACATATGGTGATGTACTGGATAATAAAACTAAAGAAGAAAAACTTGGGCTCATATGAATCAATTATTGTAACTTAGTTATGATTCCTTTATAGATGTGGACTCTAGTCAATTACTCTTACTCATTATACACTTACAGATTTGTAATTATCCTGAAAACTTAATGGAGTGCTAACCAGTGGTTAATTTCAAATTTCCCAGAAAACCATCTAATGTAAAAAACACTTTTTAAAAAGTATATAAGCCTGGAAACTTCAGAAAATATTTGCTTCCAGAATTATAGCCAGTTTTCAAAAACAGTTTTAAAGTAGATACATTCTCTCTTCCAACTAACTATAAATGCATTAATATTTTTATAAGTGTGAAGTGATGAGTTTAACTAACAATAGTGTATCCTAAAAGCCAAAATAAATGTATGAATTATATTTAGCCACCTATCAATTTTCCAGCTCATTTTTGTTTTATAGACTAGGTAGTTAGCACAAATCTATACACGAGCGAATAAACAAAAGAAATAGTCTTCATTAATTAAATATAATGGAAACAAACACAAATTAAACTCCAACTGAAATGAAGAACATTTTTTCTTAACTTGCTGATTTTAATTAACAAATAAAACTCATGCATCAATAATATATAAAAAGGCCCACATTTACTCAAGTCAGTTGATAAAGCATTTATTGAAAACCTGTAAGACATCAGGCATTGTACTATGTCCTAGTATACAAAAGTAACTAATTCATGCCCTCAAAGTAGCCACTAAAGTGATGGATTAGAGCCCTTTGTCTTTGTTGGGTAGATAAAAATTACATAAGACTATTTATGTTACAGTGTGATAGGTGAATGATGAAATGATGGACACAGCACAGAGGAGTATGTGATTAGTTTTTATAGCTGTACAAAGCAAACACAAAAAGAATCCCTCTCCTTTAAAAGATAGGGATTAGCCAGTGCGGTGGCTCACACCTGTAATCCCAGCACTTTGGGAGGCCAAGGCCGGTGGATCACTTGAGATCAGGAGTTTGAGACGAGCCTGGCCAACATGGTGAAACCTAATCTCTACTAAAAATATAAAAATGGGGAAGCAAAAATGACTGACACTGGCCCCAGAAACAGGGATTTCCAAATTCTAAGCAATATTTCTTCAATGGAGATGCTTTCCACGGAAGGAAAGGCTTAAATAAATTGTTCAGTGAGCTCTTTTGAAAGCTGTAAATTTGCTGTATCCTTCCTACCTCAGTGTTGCCTAATTTATAGGCAACACTAAAATAGAAAGACACCATATTTGGCATCTAGTCCTGTTGTTTATTAACTTTGAAAAATCATTTCACCTCTCTGAAGCTCCATTTTCTCATCTGTAAACTAAAGGGCTTCGAGCCAGATGATCACTAAGGTGCTTTCCAGCTCTAATAACCTGTGCTATCAATCCACAAAGTAACTGTTCTATTCTTGCCTTGTTCATAAGCAGATTAGCAGCATTCTGTGCAGAGCAATTTGTGGGAAGAATAAAACAAAGCCTCCTTGATCCAAAAATTCTGCTTCTACCTGCTGGCTCACATCTGAAATACTCCTCCCTGAGAGTGTCATTTTATGACTTTAATCCCTACTATGCTGAAAATAATCCAGAAAGATATTTCAGTATGTTATTGTTTCTTTTAAGTCTTTGTGTGTG